TGGTTGATTCTTGTATGTGTCCTGACCAGAGATGGAACCCGCAACCTTGGTGTATCAGAAGGACGCTCTCACCAGCTCAGCTACCTGGCCAGAGCCCTTTGTTTTTCTGTCTTCTGTTGTCCTGTGTGCTGTAACGTCCTACCATAGTCCTTTCTACCACTAGCAGCTTTTCTGATCTGCTGCGAAATTGGGTAATCAGGTTAGAACTGTGTCTTTTAAACTGTTCTCGGTGAAGACATCCATCTCTTCCTTGTGTTCCCTAGTGCCCTGCTGCTCAGAGAGGGGCCTGCAGACGAACGGCAGCAGCTCGCTGGACAGAAATGCAGACTCGTGGGCCGCACTCCAGAACTGCTGAGTCCGAGTCAGCGTTTTAACGAGGTTCTCAGGTGACTCATGTGCGCAGTAAAATTTGAGCCGCTCCACTTTAGCACGTCAGCTCTGTGACAGCTCATTTTTTCTATCCCGAGATCCTTTTTTAGCTTGCAGGTTGTGTCTTACCATGCTCTAAGTTATATAGCTTGCAGAAATATTGTACGTCTACAAACGAGGACCATATTATAATGTCTAAAAGTGTATTCACGTTTGGTAAGAGGTGATTGATGAACATTTTATTTTCTCTCTCCCTAGGATATCCCTGGTGATCTTGGAAGAGTCTGTGTCATGGAATCTATCTCGATGATGGGAAGCCCTAAGAGCCTTAGTGATACTTTTTTGCCTAATGGCATAAATAGTATCAAAGATGCGAGGAAGGTCACCGTAGGTGTAATTGGAAGTGGGGATTTTGCCAAATCCCTGACCATTCGACTGATTAGATGTGGCTATCATGTGGTCATAGGAAGTAGAAATCCTAAATTTGCTTCTGAATTTTTTCCTCATGTGGTAGATGTCACTCATCATGAAGATGTTCTAACAAAAACAAATATAATATTTGTTGCTATACACAGAGAACATTACACCTCCCTGTGGGACCTGAGACATCTGCTCGTGGGTAAAATCCTGATTGACGTGAGCAATAACATGAGGGTAAACCAATACCCAGAGTCCAATGCTGAATATTTGGCTTCCTTATTCCCGGATTCACTGGTTGTCAAAGGATTTAACGTTATCTCAGCCTGGGCACTTCAGTTAGGGCCAAAGGATGCCAGCCGGCAGGTGTGTATTTTTACATCTTATTCTTGTTTATCTAGTATTTTGTGGTTATGTAGTTAAACAAATAGCATACATTTAAAAACCAAATTCAGACCCCCTCCAATGATTATCATTTAGAAAACTATGTATGAGCACCCGAAAGTCCTGACCTCGTCGGGGCACACATCTTTTCTTGGACTTTTCTGTCATAACCAGCTAATCCAAGAAAAGGCAAGGTTTGCTGATGAAGAATGGAACACATTGAATTGATCTCTCCTTGCCTCCTCCAAAATAGAAAGAAACAGCAAGCATGTCCTTTGTCTTTCCTCCCTCTTCCTTCTCCCCTCTTCCTTGCTTGCAACTATTCTGTAGCTGTATTCCATCACTGTGTGAAATACGACTTAATGTGACCCTCCAGAAGAATGCTTTGGGAGTACCTTTTTATTTTACATAGGTTATTCATAGAACTTATTAAAACACAGTAGTACAGCTTATTTTATTGTTAAGTGTAGGTTTTAATCCCTGTGGGCAAGATAGAAGCAGATTGGATTTCTTAGGTTCTCGGTTAGTGAGGGGTTGTGTCTAGTTCACCTTGAAAATCAAAGCAGATGGGGAACTCCCTCCATGCCTTTGTGGAATGAGAGCCTTTGTAAGTAAACATATGAATAGTGCGCCTTAAAGGTGTGATGCTGCATTATAATTAAGCATGATGAAAAATACCTTCGTTATTTTTGTCCATAACGATAGTTGATTAGGAGTCTTAGAAAATAAATTCAAGTATTATATCACTGCATGCTGCATGTCATTCACAATAGCCGTTCACTTTCGGGTCTTTAATTTGGAAGGCTAGTAAAAGAATATATATTTTCCAGTTTTTCTAGAGGCTATTTCTGAATCCCTTTTTTTTTTT